TATATATATATATATATATATATATATATATATATAAAATGTGTATATTATATATACATACATTATATATATACAATTTACATATACACACATACACACACACACACATATACACACACACATATACAAACCGATACACATTTCTCACTAAATGCTCTTTCTTATTAAAAAGAAAAAAAGGTAATTATGTAAGGTGATGGATGTGTTCAATTAACTTGATTGTGGTAAATTATTTCACAATGTATAAATCATATTGTACACTTAAAATATATACAAACTTATTTGTCAATTATATCTGAATAAACTGAAAAAATTCTAATTTCCACGATGTATTTACAGATTTCACCAATGGGAAATGAAGCAGTTCAGAATTTTTAGGGTTTTTGTTTCCTTTTAAATGGAATAAGAAAACTTTAAGAAGAAGAAGAAATGCTTTCAAAAAAGCCTTGGAAAGTACATCGTAACATTTCAGATGGTTATAAATGGAAACTGTGCATCTAAGCACAACATGCACCAAATGTCACCTTTTTTTTGAGCCCTCCCCCCAAATGTCACCTTTTAAATATCCTTAACCATAAGTTTAAAGACACAAATCATTAATAAAACTGAAAAAAGGTTTATATAAAGAGGGATATATTTCAGCAATTCTCACAAGTCGTATGTTACCTGATCAGGTGGCTGAATATGTTGGACACACTGAAATATGTGAATTCCTTGAGCCGAGACGAGCAGAGGTTGCAGTGAATGTTGAGACTGGCTTGTGGCAACCAATGCTACCAAACTTCCCATGGAAATAAACTCTTTCATTGCATCATTCAAAGCTAGAATTAAGCAATATAGTTTAGAAGCTTAGTAAATATAAACATGACATTTAAAAATTATAAAATCACTAAAAATAATGATAAACTAAAGTTGAGCTTTAAGGTGGAGTACAAAGAGTATGGATCCTTCATACCTTTTAAATATTACATCTGCCACTCATTCATTGATTTATCTATTGAGAACCTAATATCTGCCACACTCTAACCAATCTAACGGAGGCCTAGCAGGTACTATAAACTCGATTTATAAGCTCAAAACAATGCCTAGGAGGTTCCTTACTTCTGGATCTCAGAAAGTAAACAAACAGGAGTCTCTGAAATATAGAAGGAAGATAAATTTCCAATATTGTGTTCTGTTGATTGGGCAAAATACAGTTCCCATTCCTATGACTTTCTAAACAATCTCTTTCTACGCCAGTTCTTTGTCAGAACTGAACCAAGCATTAACAATGTGTAGGAATCGTGACCTAGAAATCTGCAGCATTCCATTAAACACTACTCTAATAAGTTTCGCAGATGCTACAGGATTCAAACTGTGTGGTTAACACTATTTGCAATAACCAAGGCACTGTGGTTGCATTTTCTATCAATTCCAGATCTCAAGAACCTTGAGGCAGCCGAACGCTACCAAATCCTCCAGCAGCCAACCTGAGCTCTCCATGAATTCTGAACTCCAGCCACGTATTCCCTAACATACCACGATTTCTTGTACCTCTGTATCTTTGCCTATGGATCACGCTTCCTGTGCTTCTTTATTAGCATGAAGCTACTTAATGCTAATTTATACTTCTCCATCAAAATTGCATTAATCTCAGTTGTTAACTTGCTCCAAAAGCCTTCTCTGATAGCTCCTTACCCACCCCTTCCCAGTCCCGGTTGAGGGTGCATGTTCCTACAGTGCCCTGTGCACACTTCCAGCAGAGCACAGCCTACCACCTCCTACTTATGCCACCCTGGTCAGTTACCTAATCTCTGAATTTCCATTTACTCACCTGTAAAAGCAGAATATTTACCTGTAGAGTACAAAACAATCCCTAGCCCAGAAAAGGCACTCAGCACATGGTAGCTGTCATTATTACTATCAGTATTCTGTACTAAAATGGTTTCCTTTTCTTTCCTCTCCTAGATTTTAAGAATAGAGACTCTGCATAAGCATTATAGAAATGTTCTTCAAATGAACAGAGTAAATCTGTATACTTAAGCAATTTCTAATAAGTATATGAGAATGAAAGGCCCCAACAGACTAATCACAAGGTTGTAGAATTTTCACATGGCTCTTATTTACCAATTTTGCTAATACAGAGGCCACAAAAGCAATATAACATATATCTGTTTTCTGAAGACAGAAGATTTAACATTAAGACTAAAACTTCTGTCTAACCAAAGAAAAAGGCCCATGGCCACGAGTGGATGTGTTACCATTACCATGTGCAAGCCTCTGGCTCTGCGCAGCCTCAGGGCTATGCTCATGTTCTGGGAGAGCAGGCAGGCCAACAATGAGGTCAAGGTCATCCAGCAGAACCACAGAAGGCTGCCTCCATGTCGCCTCTGAGAAAGCCAGCTCCAGGGTTTTTTGTATGTGTTCAAGCCTTTTTCCTTAATATGCAAGATATGAAATGTTATTTCAGGGCTGGTAAGTATAGGTTGCCCTTTTCAGAGCATTAGAAACACTCAATATTGATTTAACCATGAAAATTTGATCCATATTTTGTTAATATACCAATCACTAAACTTTGATCATTAACGTGGTTTAATTAATAGAACCTCAAAGGACCCAGTAAAGTGCTGAATTTTATAAAGCTGAAAAAAGGAATAGGATACTATGCATGTTATTTTTACCTGGACTCATTCCACAGAAAATTACAGTATAAAAAATTACTATCTTAAAAAATAGCAAAATAAAAGCAGGATATGGAAAAACATAAATGAAAGACTAGGGGATCAAGATTCAAATAAAATCAAACACAAATGTAGCTATCTAGAGATCCCAGAGTTGCTATATTTGAATCGTACATTTGGCTTCAAACTTCCTGGTGAATTACCAAGTTTTAATTTTCAAAGAATAGAAAACATACACATTCATAAGCCAATGTAAAGAATTTCTGTTACTTACTGTTACTTTGACTGAGGTCAAAAACAAAATTTTGGAGGTTCTTGGGTGGCTATTTTTGGTTAAGCATTTGACTCCTGATTTCAGCTCAGGTCATGATCTCATCATTCGTGGGATCAAGCCCCACATCAGGCTCTGTGCTGATGGCATGGAGCCTACCTGAGATTCTCTCTCCCTCTCTCTCTCTCTCTCTGCCCTTTCCCCACTAGCACACTCACTCATGCACATACACTATCTCAGACTTTAAAAAAAAAAATTATTAAAAAAATATAAATGTAAAAAATAAAACAAAAATTTACATGAAGTTCAAGCATGACTCTGAGAGATGGACAGTATCTCTAAAACCACCTTTGCAGCATATGAATTAATCAGTTTTTGAAGGCTATTTCTTAGTTTCTTACCATATGGTAGACATAAAACACACACACACACACACACACACACACACACACACACACACACACACACAGAGCATGGACTGGTTGGGATGACAAGGTAGAGGTAGCCAAGGGGGAAAAAAAAAGGTTACTCAAAATAAAATCTTTCCAATCTTGTTTTTTGATCAAATAGATGATAACATAAGCATTAAAGATTTTTAAAGTACAAAAGTATATATATAGTAAATTGTAATTCTCCTCTTCACTGTCCACAGCCGAGTTTCCCTAGCAATTTAGGAATATTTACACCCATTAGAGTATATCCTAAATACAAACTTTTTCAGAATGGTCTAAGTTGGCATTTCCAGGAATATAGTCTACAAAGAGTTTTGGCTAAGAAAATAAAAGGAGGGGGGGGGTCTCCATCAAGTATAGAGAGTTTAGAAAATTTTGCTGAAAATATTAGAAAGCTAAAGATTTAAAATTTCTAAGGAATTGGGGCACCTGGGTGGCGCAGTCGGTTAAGCGTCTGATTCTTGATTTTGACTGTGGTCAAGGAGTTCTGGAGACTGAGTCCCACACATCAGGCCTGTGTTGCGTGAGCCACTTAGATTTCTTTCTCTTCTCTCCCTTCCCTCCTTCATGTCTCTCTTTCCAAAGGAAAAAAATTTTTTTTGTAAGGAATTTCAACAACTAACAGAAAAGATAAGGGAAGATTAGATATTTGTACTTACTAGATTAACAGCATGAAATAACATTTCTGCCTTTCTAGCAAAAAAGGATTATGAGTAACACATGTACTGTAGTGCCACTCATCTCCACCAATGTCAGCTTTACAGATCAAAGTTGATTTTCATCACTCAGAAAATACACTAAGTTTTATAAGCAATATATTCAATCACAGAAATAGCTTCTGTTACTGTGGCAACCAAGACTCAGCCTCACCAATCAAGTATACACTACAAATATTACTTATGTCAATAACTCAATAAAGTCGGGGAAAAAGAAAAAAAGAAAACCCACCTCCCTGGAGTTCTAGGATCACATTATGGTGCGTGACATTTAGCATAAAGTAAACTAACAGGAAGGACTGAAACTCTAGACTCAGGAGGTTTTAAATTTTTTTTTTTAACATTTTATTTATTTTTGAGACAGGGAGAGACAGCATGCAAATGGGAGGGTCAGAGAGGGAGCGACAGGCAGAAAGAACAGACCCAGTGGGGGCTCCTCTCTCCAACTGAGACCTCTGGGCCAAGATCATGACCGGTCAGAGCCATCCAGGTGCCCCAGAGACTCAGGAAGTTTTAAGAGCACTCCAGGATTAAGTGGGAAAGAATGATTTCCTAAACATGTATTCAAGTCTAGCAAAGAAAAATATGTAATATTTTGCAAAAAAACCCAGAAGGCTCTAGCTTCCCAGCTCTAATAGAATGACTCAAGTGGTATATAAACACAGGCAAGGTTAACAGATGACAACCCAATCTCAGGAATATAAACCCCCCAAAAAGGTACATTTCCCACCCCAACTTCAACCTTAATTGGTACTAATACTAAAAATAATCAATTGCTTTGAGAAAGTTAAAAAAAAATACACCAGGTCTAGTTGCTGGGGAAGATATGCAGATATCACCAAAATATGTCTTTTCTTTTAACCTGTTAAAAGCTGGATGTGTCCTATGTTCATTACACCGCACAGACAGAAAATAAACATTTAATTTGTTTTTACAATTTTTTAAATCACTGATATTTAAATCTTTTACCTTTAAAAACAGTCAATGCTTCATTATTTGTTACTAGAAGGGAATAATGTAAACATTAAATAATCTTTCTAGAGAAATGAAACCTAATCCCATTTAATTTCAACTATTTTCAGTGAAAAAAAAATTATTACCCACTTCCTTGTTATCTTAAATTAACTGCAATTTTAATTTACAGTTTCTTGGTGATATACAGTATTACTGTTGACCTTAGTGTACTATGTAGCCCTCAGAGACTATTAAAGTGGGCAGAACTATTTACTTTTTTATTAAGTGACTCTAGACTATATAGAGTTTGATCCAATGTGTACTTCTTGTTTTCAAGTAAAAGCTTTATTTTTTTCCTGGTTTATAAATTAACATGTGAAGCATACAAAGGAACTGTAAACACTTAGTATAAGAGAAATGTAAAAAATTTTCTGTAATCTTACCACCTCACAGAAGTAACCACAGTCCATTGTTCTGAGGTATCACCCTTCCAGACACCTCATACACATTTAAGTAAATTTGTAAAGATGGGATTACAGTATTTATGTGGGTTCATGATAAATCACTGTCCTCTTTATCCACAATTATGGAGCTGCTTCGGCTCCCCAGCACACCACCACTGTGGGACATACTGCACATAACACGTTTAATAAGCCCCTTCCTAATGTATAATAATGTTGTTTCTAATTTTTAACTATTATAAATAAAGCTAAAATAAATACCCATATATGTGTTAACTTATTTGTCAGATTACACCTTTAGAATAAATTTCTAGAAGCAGAATTACTGTATCAAAAGGTACACACACATATTTAAAATTTTGCTGACCGGGGCCCCTGGGTGGTTCAGTCGGTTGAGTGTCCGACTTCAGCTCAGGTCATGATCTCGCCGCTTGTGAGTTCGAGCCCCACATAGGGCTCTGTGCTGACGGCTCGGGGCCTGGAGCCTCTTCAGATTCTGTGTCTTTCTCTCTCTCTCTCTGCCCCTCCCCGGCTCACACTCTGTCTCTCTCTGTCTCTCAAAAATAAACAAACATTTAAAAAAATTTTTTTGCTGACCGTTGCTATAGTGCCCCCTAGAAAAGCTGAATGTTGGCAGGTTTTTACAGTTCTTTTAATATAGGTTTTTTCCCTCGATCTAGTATTATTTCCTACCCTTGCTGTTTTGTCTAGCTTTAACAGCCCTGCACCAGTTCTAACATTTTGTTTTTCAGCACCATGGACTGGAAAAACAGCCAAGCTTGTTATACAAAATCTGAAATTTAGCAGCCACTCAACAAATACTACCACACTTACACCTTACAGAATTGTATTTACATTTAAAGTCAACGGGCTCCAAAAAATAAAGAAATTAAGGGTGCTGGGGTACAGGTCCCATCTATCATACTTTGCTTAGTTTGAGGGCTTTCTCCTCACAAAGTAAATCACACTTGTATAGCACTTTTGAGTTTACAAAGTGTTTTTCCATATATTATTTCCCTTAAGTGAGGTTTATCCTAAGAAGGCAGATTAAGAAACCACAAAACTGCCTGTGGTCATAGAAAGTACATGACAGAGGTGGGACTCAAATCCAGGTCTTCTGCTTGTTCTTCATATTACCCATGATACCCCTAGGTGAGATGGAGAAGTCTGATTTCTGAGTCAATACGATATTGCTTTTTCAAAATAAATATAAAATGATGATGCATTTTGAAATGTGACACAGAAACCTAGAAACCACATAGAATAGTTCCTATATTTCACCAGCTTGCATACCTGGGATAAATCTCCACTTGATCATGGTATACAATTCTTTATACACATTGGTTGATTTGATTTGCTAATATTTTGTTGAGGATTTTTGTATCTATGTTCATGAGAGGTTATCAGTCTGCAGTTTTCTTTTAACGTCTTTGTCTGGTTTTGGTATTAAGGTAATGCTGGACTCACAGGATGACTTAGGAAGCATTCCTTCTGCTTCTATCCTCTGAAAGAGATTGTAGAAAACTGGTATAATATCTTCCTTATAGGCCTTTTTATATTGTACACTTCTTGTGCAAGTTTTGGGAACTTGTGTCTTTCAAAGAATTGGTCCATTCATCTAAGATGGTTATCAAATTTGTGGGCATAGAGTTGCCTATTACGATTACGACTTTATTATCCTTTTAATGTTTATGGGATCTGTAGTGATGTTCCCTCTTTCATTTCTGGTATTAGTAATTTGTGTCTTCTTTTTTTTTTCTTAGACTGGCTAAAGGCTTATCAATTTTATTGATCTTTTCAAAGAAGCAGCTTTATGGCACAAAAACAGACACATAGACCAATGGAATAGAATAGAAACCCCAGAACTAGACCCACAAACGTATGGCCAACTCATCTTTGACAAAGCAGGAAAGAACATCCAATGGAAAAAAGACAGTCTCTTTAACAAATGGTGCTGGGAGAACTGGACAGCAACATGCAGAAGGTTGAAACTAGACCACTTTCTCACACCATTCACAAAAATAAACTCAAAATGGATAAAGGACCTGAATGTGAGACAGGAAACCATCAAAACCTTAGAGGAGAAAGCAGGAAAAGACCTCTCTGACCTCAGCCGTAGCAATCTCTTACTC